CCTAGTTTGCATAAAAATATGTAAATACGTAGAGTGGAACTAATAACAAAGATACTTAATAATTGGTATTGTAGGGAAGAAGCTGCATCCTAAAAAAAGGCTTAAATTGTCATGCATTTATGGTAGATGTGACAGCTAGAAGATATGCCTGATAAAATGTTCTATTATAGAATTGAACAGAAATGGAAGTAATTGAATGTCAGACTATTTTTACATAGGCAGTATCATTGCATGGGTTTAATGAAAAAACATGGGGATAACAACTCAATTTACTGCATTTCAGTGAGTAATTAATTCAAGTTCTTATTAAATAATCGTACAGAATGTCATGTAGTTTACTGTTCACTTTGATATCCTGCATCTATTGTCACTTTTTCCATTGGATATAGAAAGACTTGAATCTGGTGTTTGTTAATAATTCTTTCAAGAGTATGCTTTTATTTCCAGATCAATTAAAATGGGATTTGTGACTTTTAAACTTAAAAATGATTATCTTATAGGACTTGCAATTCCAACTTTTTTGCTATTTGGGCAATTGTGTAGTTATATAAATACTTATTAATACTCTTCTAATGAAAAGCGAAGTTCTTAAGTAGTTCTTGTTAATTAGCAGAAATCCTCAAATGGTAGCTGTACCACTTTAAGTTCTTTAGAAAGGAGTGACAAAGTTGGAATAAAGGAATAAAAAACGAATACATACCCATGCAAAACAGGATGATGACAACTACAGACTAATGGGTTGTTTTAACAAATGTTCTTGCACTGCATTCCAGTATTTGTACATAATATCCTATCAGTTTGGCTTCATTACACAAATTGGGGCATGTTGTAAATGGAAGAATATATAGGCAACCATTGATCCCCATGATCATGGTTTACATGTAAGAGGTCTAGTCAGATGCCTGATGAATCAGTTCGTGGCTGACAAGTCCAATTCAAGAGTGACACAGCTTGTTACCAGTTTCACAGATCAATATGTTGTCTGAGTTGGAGTCCAAGTTTACAGCATGCTGCTTTCTTTTCTCTCTCTTTGCTTCTATCCTCTGGAACAAAGCTGCTTCATGTTGAGCTACACCTGGTGCTAGATGTTCCCTCCAGATTGACCAGGATTTTGTACACTCCTCCCAGCTTTTTATGTTGATGTTGAATGACTTCATATAATTTTTGCACCCATTGTGGTACTGCCATAGAGGGTGACACCACTTTCTAGAGCTGCCTTGAAACTTGCTGCACAAAATATTCTTAGGGATATGGTCTCCTCCCATTCTTCTGACATGGCCAATTCATCGCAACTTCCCCTTCTTGATAGTGGTTTCTAAGTGTGTCAGTCCTATGTACTCCAGTACCTCTTTGGTATTCTTTGTCCCACTTTATTTTCAGGATCCTACACAGACATCCCCTTTGTTTTTGTTAATTGTACTAATTGAGTGTCTTTGGCATCTCATGGTACTACTTCCCCTTTCCAACGTAGCAGTATACCTTCATGGAGCTTTCAGAGTAATTTGTCCTTGGCGCATTTATAGATTTAAGCAGGCAACCAGTGGCTGCCAGATAATTCTCTTTCGCAGCCGCTTCTTTGACCGCTCGAATGGCCATATGCAGCTGGGCTTTCAAACTTAAATTCTTTTGCATTTAAATCGGTTACAGTACGAAAAGTTGCAGTTAACACTCCCCCCTTGTCGTATTGTGGGGCCACCCTCTCATCTGTGGCGCGTTCCTCCGTCTCCAGATCTTCACGGAGCTCGGATGGAAGCTTGTGACCCCTTATTCTAGACGCCAGCATAAAGGGGGTGACCCGGTCGATCGGCACCAGTTCTTCACTCTCCTGAGCACATCTTAGGCAACGGGCACGCTCCCGGGTGAGGGTCGGGTTTACTGCGCCCGCCGGGTTGACTCTGGCGAGGGAGACAGTGTCGAGGGGCCTGAACAGGACCCGCTCATCGCTCATTATACACCCGAATGCCGCGGGGTGCAGATACACTTCCCTCTTTTTCGGGGCTCCGTCTTCGGAAGCTCCCTCTTCTCCCTTCAGCGAAAGGTGTCTGCTGATAAATCTTTCACCCGTTCCGCCCGCCTGGTGGTAAGCGATATGCGCCTCCAGTTTCATAAGGTTTTCTACTTGGCGTTTTCCACTGCGCCAAGGGCATTTCTTAACTAATTCTAGCTCCAGCGTGCCTTCCCCTGATCCCATCCTCGTCACCATGTGCGGGCTGGGAGCAGTCCGAGGCCCTTTTTTCGTGCGGCGGGCTGTGGCCAGCAGCCCGGACACGCCGGGTTGGGGAAGACAGGCGGCACACTAGAATTAGGCACGGTTGCTTAGTGGTTGATTTAAGATTATTTTACTTACACTGAAGATGGTCGCGGTGCAGGCAGGAAAACTTGCTTGAGTTGCTGTTACAAAACAAAACAAAAAACATTGTATCTATATGACTTAGGATACTCAGAGTGCATACACAGAATAGCTTCATCGTGTTGTTTAGTGTCTACATGCCTACCTTTCAAGCTAGTGATGAAGACAAGAACAGTTTCTGTCAATGACTTGAAGAGATTAAGAACTTGTAGAAATGAGATTGTTATAATACTTGGTGACTTCAATACAAGAGTTGGATGTAGTTTTAAGAATTGCCTGGTATTCTAGGCAAACATAGAATTGGTAAAATGAATGAAAATGGGCAGAGACTGTTAAAACTTTGTGTAAGTCAAAACCTATGTATTACCAATACCTACTTATCTGGGAAAATCTCAAGAAAGACATAGTGGAAACACACAGGATCAGGCACTAGCACCAATTAGATGTAGTACTGACCAGGTGTAACCATCTGAAAGAAATCCTGCATACGAGGTCTTATCATGGTGCTGACTTTGACATTGATCATGCCTTAGTCTGCTGTAAGGGGAAATAGCCTTATCAAAATAAGAATTTTACATTATGTTACATTACATGTCTGTCTCGACTGAACTGTGACTTCTTTAACTTGAAGTTTGTGGTATGAGTAGCTAACAAAAAAAGAGCTGATGTTAAAAATCATTTGCACATGTTGTTCAGATAATCGTGCTGTAATTTCATTTTGCCCCTTGCAATATATGATGTGCTTTGCTTTGGGTTTTTTTCACAGGAGAGGTGCAGAATAATTTCAAATATGTATGTGTGTATATATGACCTTGCAGAGCAACATATTCACTTACCCAAATACACAAACTTTAAAACATGTTTTTCAATAGCATTGTGAATAAAATACTTTGAACTTGGCTATTCAGATATATTGGTTAATTAATTATTCACTATTATAAGTCAGCATCATGAATTTAAGGACCAGAAAGGAAACCATACGTGGGACTCCAGGATCATGAGAGATACTCTGCAGATGTCACACAGTGTCTGTACAGACAATGTACTTTAAATAGAACCTTAGCCTTACAACCAGCCAGCCAGCGAGCAGTGCAGAGGGATGGGCAGAAACTGTTGATAACAATGGAATCATCTAAGTTTGTGCCTTGGCTCAATAAGTGACTTCCATGTTTATAGCTGTTGTTCTGGAGAACTGATGCTTTAATGAACTAGAAGCACAAGGTGATAGATTGTGCATCTGTTTACAAGGGTTTGTTTTCTTTGTATTTAAAGTGGTGAAATACTGCAAGAATAGAGAAGATGGATGGGGACAATAGTCATGCATATTGTGTCATTGTGTAGACTGGTAGAATTTACTTTTGATCACCTGTTCTACAACATCTTAACATGGAAACTGGTGTTTCATTTAATAAATATAATAGACTAGAAATTGCACAAACTTTCAAACACTTTCTTTCCTTTACCATCTCCTTTCCTAGAAAGTGGTCACTTGAAAGGTAAAGTATGAAAAATTAGAGTGAAGCATTTAAACTGTTTAAAGAAAATGATTTCGTATGAGACATCATTCTTGCCTTCTGTCTCGGATGATAGTTTTTTTGTAAAACGGCCTCTGAAGCTCAGATGAATAACACAAAACGAATGGACTAATTAAGTGATCTTGATATACCAATAACCTTCTGTTCCCATGTTCAATATAGAAATTTCTTAACTTAAAACAAAGTTCTGTATAGAAAGGCCTTGCATTCGCAGGGTATGGGCTAGGCTAAGCTAATACTGTTTCCATCTATGACTTCTAAAGATTTGTCCTAATTGAGATTATAAGGATTGCTACATAGATTATTGTTTCAGATATGGCGGTAGTTTGTGAGAACTGGCTGGCTGCAGTTAATGCCAGCATTATATTTAAAGCTATTGACTTGCATTAAAATAATATTAATTTTTTATATGAAAAGTTTCTATATTGTGTGCTGGAAAATTATGGAAAAGAGATCAGAAGTATGCTGGGAAGGGAGAGGATCCATACAACAATTTGTAAATGCATAGCTAATAGTATTGCAGGGGTATGTGTTGTAGCTGTGTTCTTTGGGTAAATATGGTATCTTTTATTAGACCAACTCACATAGTTGGAAAAAATTCTTCTTAACAAGCTTTTGGGTATAAATACCCTTCATCAGGCTGAGGAAGCATCTGCAGTTGATGTGTGCTCTTCCTGGATGGAAACCTAGCTAGCCAATAGTATTAAATATTAAGGTAGCTTTCTTGTTAAAAACCAACTAACCCAAGACAGTCTTAGTGTCCCACATGGAGAGGGGATGGAGAGAAACTTGGTTTTGGATCTATTCTAGATGGGTTGTTTTAGAGCTCAGAGTGTATACTTAACTGGTTTTCTGAAGATACTAAGTTCCTTTATAGTAAACTAAACTGGGACATATGGTCACCCTACTTATGCTGCTGGCAAGAAATGTTTTCTTCTTTACTCTTCCTTCTGAAAGCATCGTGCATATTTGTACTGACGTGCGTGGTAGGAAAGTAAATGCATTGTTCCTTTGCTTCGCAATAGATACTGAATAGTATCTGAAAAATGGCTTGTGGGTTTTTTTGGGTTTATTTTTGTTTGTTTCATATGATACTTGTTTTTATCTTTGTCCAGATGCAACCGGTTGTTGAGTGTGCAAGCTCTTCCTGTCAAGAGTCCATTTCTGTTCATCTTATGAAGGATGATGTTTGCAACACGGTCTCCCAGATACACTCACTGAGGTAAGGAGTGTGGGGTTTATTCCTTTAAAGGTTCTGCTACTAGCTCGTATCACACAATCCCCACACAACACAATGGCTGATGTTTGAGCTGTTCAGGGTAGGCTGGCAAGGACATTGTTACAAGCCAGATTCAATTTAGGTGCATTAAATAACCTTTACAATAATAGCACAGAGCTCTGGAGTACAAGCAAGTTCTTAACATTGTCTTAAGTAGCACTTTCTTTGACGCATAAATCCAGCGCTGCTCCCTCAGGCCATCATTAACTTGTTTGTGTACTTGGGCTGACTAGCTTGGCTCCTGCCCAGCACGCCAGTACAAATGAGCAAGGCAGCAAGTTACACCTTGCTGTTTTTTTCCTGTCAGACCTTTTTATGTGATTATTTCTGCCAGCTGTTGAAAATAGCTTCTCTTTAACATTGCCTTTTAAAGGAGAATTTTTAGGGTTTTTTCCCTGTTTCTTTTCTTAATTTAAATGTTACGCTAACTAGCTCAGCACAGGAGGCAAGCTGGATAATTCCTTATAGAAGCTGAAATACCTGTTCTGCTCCCAGGGTTAGAATTCATTGTATTTAATAGTATTCTTCCATTTTGCTCTCAAAGCTGAAGAGCCTCAACTATAACTGGGCTATCTGAAGGTTCTGTCTAACAAGTAAGATGAAACATCTGCCACAGAGGTGAAGCAATAGTGCCTTTTCAAGGAACTAGTTTTTGTAAATTCCTCTCTGTAAAGGTTTCTCTTGTAGTACAAAGAATTATTGAGGTTTTAACAAGATATTCTAAACAAGTTTTACATGTCTGTGTAACACTTGATACACTGTTTTTGTAGGGCTACAGTTTGTAGCCCTACAAAAAGAGAGCTATGGACTCAGCTAGGTGGCAGCCTGGACATGGCTCCCTGGAAGCTGATGCCTGCAGGGCTCCTTGACAGCTCCTTGTTCTCCCTTTCTCTCCCCCCATTAGAGGAGTGGGAAGGGAAAATGTAGAATAATGGGAGTGTCTTGGATCTCTCTATATGTTAAAACTGAAGCATCAACTTTGTTAATGGATCTGAAATTTTTGAGGCAGATCAGTAGTTTGTTTGGGATTTTAAAATTTGGGTTTTTTTAAGTGCAAAAAAAATGACCGTGTAGTTCGTGGCTTTTTGTTGCACTAAAACAGCTGCTATAATGGGACAAATGTCGCATCCGTTGAAGCCTTATGCATAGCATTAAGTCAAAGTTTTGATATGTATGTTGCAAATTGCATTTGTTTTCCATTTCTCTCTACTCTAGATCAGTTTTTCATGAAAGTACCAATTTTCACTGAGCATCTAAGGCAGCGGTTCTGAACCAGGGGTACATGTACCCCCAGGGGGTACATGAAGCCTCATCAGGGGGCATGTGAGAGATATTTCATACATTGTCTAACGCAGGTCGAAGGGCCTAAAAAAATTAATTTCCCATTGAAAGGAGATATGTAAAGTCTCACTCTGAGACCAAGGGGTACGTTGACTGAAAAAGGTTCAGAACCGAGGATCTAAGAAACTGCAGCACAGTCACTAATACTGGTTTACCCACACTTTCCTGCCAGGGTGCTTTTAGAAGCAAGGCAAAAAAAAAGGTGCAGAGGTGCTCATCCTGTGCACTTCCAAATGCAGGCATTCTACTAACAGGTCTGTTCGGTATAGAAATGTGAGGGTTTCATTTTGGGCTAGTGGACAGGTGCTCTCCCCTCATGTCTTCCAACTGTAGTGGCTGCCAAGTCAATTTAATTTCTAATTTTTCTACCATCGTTATTAGCAGATTAGTCCCTTTTTACCCTTTCCCCTCTTTCAGCTAGTCTTTCTTCATTTTACCTTATATTTGCTATTAGCAGAAAAGAGCACTCTAATTGTCTTTCTTCCTGTAGCTACAGTACAATAGGCAAGTTAGCAAAATTGTGCCAGAATGGAAAACTACTACAGTCACTTTCCTTTGTGAGTTGAGGAGAATGGAGCATACAGAAAATAACAAGTGAATACCACCTGGGTAACAAAAGAGGCATGCAGTTGCCTTGCAAGCACTGTAATGATTGAGGGGAGCAGATGGAATATCCCTTCCTTGTGATTTAACTGTCAGAATCCTTTTAGCTAAAACTTGTGGCTATAGTAACGTATGTGTAGGTGTCTTTCTGGTACTAGGTATGTATTAACTAGTAGGCTGTGTTGGGACTGGTAGTGGTGACAGTCGCATAACACTTCTCCTTATGTAATCCTGGATTAAGTTACAACTTTCCCAAACTGTGACCATTTTGAAATTTTCCATGTCAGGTATGAGTTTAAGATCCAGATTTTTGAAAACCTTAAGGTAAATTGGTTTAGAAACTTCCAAGAACACAGCTTATGGAAAAAATACATTTTGCTCCAGTTGAAAAGTTTAAGGGCCTTGTTGTACTTTATGCTGTGAGGTGCACAAATGTTGATCTGTGGTAGTGCTAGCTCAAGTTTGGAGTAGTCGCACTTCAGGACAGCAGGGGCCTAGAGGACTGAAAGGTAAGAATTCCTCTCCTCCTCCCATACTGGGCTTCCCCACCCTGGGACGTTAATTACTTGCAGCTGCCTCTGCTATCTGTCCCAAGGGAGCAGGCAGGGAAGGGTTAAGCTACCTGTCTGACTGCTGCTTTTTTTGCTAGGCTGCTGCTGTTCTGGTCCAGAGAGCAGCAGTGGCCAGGCAGACAGTTTAACCCTTCCCTGCCTGCTCCCTGGGATAAATAGCATGGGTAGCCACAAGTAAGCAGTGTCAAGGGAGGGGCAGTGAGTGGGGATCTGGAGTGCTGGGTAGGGTGGCAAAAGGGGCAGTGGGCCTGACTTGGGCCAGTGCAGGAGGGGGTTGGGTGGGAGGTTTTCACTAAGGTGTAGCCTAGAGTGGCCACATCTTAGTGCGATGCAAGGTGGATAGCACAGATCAGAGAGAATTCTGCCCCGGAGTGGTGTAACTTTGAGCTTCATAGTGAGTGCTTAAAAAAGGGGCAGGCAGTTATTTCGGGTGAAGGGTTGCTTACCAAGATGTGGCATGCTGTTGAGGGCTGCATGGGTAGTTCTGCCCCTTGCCAGGTGCCCTGCCCCCTGGTCACCATCTTGGGGCGGGAAGTCCCACCCCCTTAACCTCTGACCTTTGCTACCCTTGCCCCTGGGAGTACTCCTTTCGGGAAGAGGGTTTTTAAAAATTAAAACCCATAATAATATATTAATTTAATTTTAAAAAGAGATTTTTGATCTGATTTGTGCTGTATATGTAGAAGAGATTGGATAAAAGCTCAGAATGCAGTCTTGTATATTGTGTGGGGTGTGCTTGCGTGTCAGGGGGCGTGGGGTTTGTGGGGAGTTGTGGGTGGGTGGGTTTGTGGGGATGTGTGTGTGGGTATGGGAGCCATGGGGTGCAGAGCGGCTGGCAAGTGGGCAGGAAAGTGGGGAAAGTGGTGGCAGGGGAGGGGGGGATAGTGAAAGTAAGTGGGCATGCAGGAGTGCAGGGCCTGTGGGTCCCAGAGTGGGGTGGTAGGAGCACACTGGCAGGGGTTCCCAACCTTTTTATACTGCAGACCTGTAAACTGTTTAATTAAAGATTTAAATTTAATTTACATCTTTAAATTAAACTTTTATACCGGGGGGGGGTGGGGCGGGGGTTGTGAGGATTGGATGTGTTTGGGGCACTGGGAGACCCTGCAGGGGAGGGGGCTGCGCAGGCGGTGGCCCAAGGGGACCTAGTTGGGGCTGCCTGGGAAGAAGGGGCTCTGATGCCTTTCCTAGGAGCAAGCAGCAGAGCTGCCTCCCCATCCTCCGCCCTAGGCATTTCCCTGCCCAAATCCCCCTGCTCCCAGCCGCAGTTGGGGGTGGAGGGTTGTGCTCGGCCTGGCGCAGGCCCCAGTGCACGGGCAGCACCTTACCAGGCTCAGCCATGGTGGCAGGAGTGGGGCAGGAGCCAGCTGCCTCCCTCTCAGGTCTGCCCTGCCGTCCACATGTAACTACCGGTGGCAGAAGCCATGGCTCCCATCCAGCTGCCGCATGCCTGCTCGCTCCCAGCCGCACCTTCACCAGCCCCGCAGTACAGGCGGGGATGACAGTGAGCAGCCCCGACCCTATGTGTCCTGCATCTGGGCTGAGCAGTGCCGGCGGCAGGGAAAAAGCTGCTGCTCAGCATGGGGGAAAAGCAGCTGCTCCCGCTCCCACTGCCAGCACTAACTGCGGCAGCTGCCCAGAGCCCACTCAGGGCTATCGTGCTTCTTTGCCACATCCCCAGTGGCAACGGAGAGCTGGCACAGGCAGCCCTGTGTGGGCTCCAAACAGATGCTGCATGGAGCGCTGGTGGCAGGAGGGAGAGGGGCCACTTTTCCCTTGCACTCAGCTGCAGTTTGTTCCTTGCCACCACTGCCAGCCTGGGCCCCACACCAGCTCCAGGCTCACCTGTCAGCCTGAGTGGCAGCAGGGCATGAACTGCTGCTGGGGTGAATGAAAGCGCCACCCCCTCCCTCCCCCTTGGCTGCCGCTGGGCAGTGTTTGCTGGGGGAGCCCACACTGTACTAGGCTCCACTGCGACTCCTTTGCCACCAGCTCTGTGCTGCCCAGTGTGGCTGCTCCACACAGCCACTGCTTTTGCTTTGGGTAGCACAGAGCTGGTGGTAAAGGCGCTGCAGTGGAGCCTAGCGTGGAGCAGGCTTTGGCAGACTGCCCAGCGGTGGTGGGAGGTGGGGGCGCTTTTCCCCCCACCCTCAGCTGCAGTTTGTTTGTCACCGCCGCTGCCAGCCTGGGCCCTGTGGTGGCTCCATGATTGCCTGACGGGCTGAGCGGCAGTGAGGCACGAACTGCTGCTGGGGCAGGGGAAAAGCAGCTGCTCCCCCTCCCACTGCTAGCGCTCCCTGTGGCAGCCACTTGGAGCCCACGCAGGGCCACTTGTGTCCGCTCTCCATTGCCACTGCTGCCCCATGGGTGGCAGGGACGTGGTGGAGAGGCAGGAAAACCCTGCACGGGCTCTGGGCAGCTGCTGCAGGGAGTGCCAGGGGCAGGAGGAGGAGGAGCTGCTTCCCCCACTCCCCCCCTCCATGCTGAGCAGCAGCTTGCTCCCCGCCACTGCTGCTGCTTAGCCCAGATGGGCAAGTGTGCGGCTCACGGGGTCTGGGCTGCTCATGGTCATCCCTGCCTGTGCCGTGGGTCTGGGACAGGCAGGGCTGGGAGCAAATGGGCACGCAGCAGCTGGGCGGGAGTGCAGGACCCACACTGGTGCCCTGGGGCCAGCACTGGCAGGGCCCAGAACAGGTGGCAGGAGCACAGGGTCCCAACTGACTGGGGCTCTGTGGAGCTGGGCCAGCTCCCCTCTCTCCCCGCTGGCACAGTGCAGCCCAGCTCCATAGACCCCTGTCAGCCCACACCCCACTCTTCTGCCACCCTGGTCTGAGCCCTGCCAGGGCTAGCCCTGGGACACTGGCATGGGCCCTATGCTCCTGCACACCCACTTGCTTCCACTGCCCCTGCCCCTGCTGCCACTTTTCCCCACCTTCCTGCCTGCCCCCCCCGACCTGAATTTCCTGCTCGGGGCAGGGAGGCACGTGAACAGTCCCACGGTTCCAGGCAAGAAGCCCCTGCTATTGCAGGAGCCTGATGAGGCTTCCCCTGGATCCTACTACCCTTGGCAGCTGCCATCTTTGACAGACAGCTGGGACAGATGAATATTAATTTTCTAAATTTTTTTAGGGGTCCCGCGGGCCAGGTAGAATGGCCTTGGTGGGCTGGATTCATCCTGTAGGCCATATTTTGCCTACCCCTGGCTTAAAACCAGTTTCAGGTGTTAATGTGCGGACAATCCAGGGGTTAAGAGCTCCAGCAGCCACCCAAAATTACCATGTAACAAGATGCTAACGTTGAAATTCTGGTGAGCTCCTGGTGATCAGGGACATTACATTTGCTACCAGTGTCATTGTATGTTTGGAACATGCATTTCTGTTTCTGTGATTAAAATTTGATCAAGCTCCAAACCAGGCATGGGCAAAATATGGTCTGTGGGTCAGATCTGGCCCACCGAGGGATTTTGTCCAGTCCATGGTGGATCTTTTTGTCCCATCCGGCCCAGATGTGACGGGCAGTCCAGGCTGTGGCGCATGTGGCTGGTCCTGCTGCCCCGAGGCGAGCAGTGAGCCTGGGGTGGCGCAGCCCTGGACTCACTTCCTGGCAGCCCTGGTGGCGGCAGTGGCGGCTCCTCCCAGCTGCCTTTGCCACTAGACTCAGCCACACATTCCAGTCACCCTGGCTTATCTGCTCTTCACCCACTGCTGGGGGTGACACCTGTGTGGGCAGGGCATGTGGCTGGGAGGATGAGATGGGGCTGTGATGGGCTGGGACTGGCGTTCAGGAGCAGAATGGGCAGGTGAGGCTGGGATTGCGGGGCGGTGACTGTGGAGCTGGGGCAGAGCTGGGATCTACTTCCTGCACATCCCAGCGATGGGCACAGGTTCCGTGGGCTGGGGCATGTGTTGAGTGGATTGCAGGTCTGCCCCAGGCCCCAGCCTTGTGCTCTCACCACCCCAAGATCCTGAACCTGTCCTCTGGACACAGTTCTCCTCCCCCCCATGGCCTCATCCTGTCTGTCTGGATGTGCACATGCCTACATGGGTCATGGCTCATCTTCAGGGAGACCCTGGGATTACTGGGCAGTGACAGTGCGGGGCTGTAGCAGAGCCATGATCTGTTCCCCCACATGCCCCTGCCTGCAGAACCGGTGCCCACCTCAGGGGTGTGTGGGCAGCAGATCACAGCCTGGCCCCATGCTGTCAAAAACCATGATCCCAGCCCTGGCCCTGCCTGCCCGCCCTACTTCTGAATGCTGCTCCCAGCTGCCTGGCTGCGTGCGGAGCAGAACCACTTCAGGAGTTTTGGTGAGCTGACCTGGCCCATGTCAGCTCACCAAAACTCCCTATGTGGCCCATGGGTTAATTGAGATGCATTGGTGGAAGGAAACTAGGATTGACTGGGAAGGATTTGGAGAGCAACTAGTGGGGTTTTGGAATAAGGAGCTTGGAGAAAGGGGAATCAGAGGAGATAACAATAGTGGGACTGCTAGGCAAGGAAAATGGAGTAGGTGGAAAACTGATTCTTTAGCTGGAGGACACTTGGACTAAAATGAAAAACCAAGGTTTGTGTATGGGAGGCAAGGACTGAGGAATGTGGTAAGGAGACAGTACAAAGGGAATGAGGACAGAAGGAATCGGGCTTAGGAAGGTTAAAAATGGCAGAAGGTTGAGCTCTACGGAACAGTCCTTTCTATTTTATTCCAAACAGAATAAAATCCTGTCCTCAGATGTCGGCTCATGTTTGTGAAACCTTCTGGCAAAGTGTCTTGCTGCCCTCAGTGCTGGTTCACATAGGGGAGTCCAAACTATATTGTGGCTACCATTAATCTTGGATCTGTGCAGTCAATCTGTGTTCCAACCCTGTTGAACTATATGAGTATCAGCCATGCCTCACGACAGATCATCTTCAATTTTCTTTTTAAAAACCTAATTAAAATATTGAGTGTTGCAAAGTCAGGTGCTCAGAAGTGCCTCCCTTCTTTGTTATGCAAGTTAAATGCACACAGCTTTCAACATAGTAGGGGTTACATGAAAGGAGAGGATGATTTATGACTATGGCAGTTATGGGAGATTTGGATTCTATCCTTGCCTGTGCTGTGGAGTACCTGTTTGATTGCTTAATCCAGGCGTTTCACAGGGAGTTAGTTGTTGTTGTGTCTTGTGTTCTGGGTGCCTGACTTTGAAACTGGCGTGTAAAGGTATCAAAGTGCTGACGGCTGCAGCTGAAGTCACTGGGAGCTGTGTTTGGAATGGATATGGAAGTCCATATTGCCAAATGTTCTGAAAAATTGGCTCATAGGTATCTCATATTGGCCACCCAAAATTCTCCTTGATTTCTGTACCTCAGCTCTCCATCTGTAGTGGATTGTACCTAACAAGGGTGCTTTAGAAATAACTGTTGTTCAGAAAACAGACTTTTGTGGGTGGGGGAGGGAATATTGAAATTAAAGTAACTGACAGGTCACAATTTAAAATCAGGGATTTATCATCAAACAGGAAATGTTTTAAATATTCTTAATCTTGCTTTCTTTTTCAGTTTTAATTTGTTTAGAGTCGTATTCTTCTTGACTGGTACTACTTCTGGCTAATCTGGGGAATACGCTATCTCTAAATAGCTATTCACCTTTTTAAAGTTTAACTTTTTATTATGGTGGAGCATATGACTGCATCGTTTTCTAGATTACCAACTTCTTGTTTATTTGTCAAGCTCTATTTGGATGGAAATTGAATTTAAAAAATTAAATTAAAAAGACAAAATATTAATTAATAAAAACAATTTTGATGTACAAAAATTTGTCTAGCACATTTCAAAGTGATGTGTTTATTTGTTAATGAAACATTATCAATAAGTTAGTGTTCTAAAATCTTGAACCAGTAAGCCTTATTCTTTCATGCTGAATCTTTACTCTTATATTGGAAGAGGAAAAACAAGCTTTTTTCCTTTTTCTGTTTCTAGTCTTTTTCAGCTTTAAATGATCTAATCATTGAACTGAAGTGGGTAAATAAGCTTAAATGAAGAAAAATACTCTCTGCATTGGCAAACAAAGCTCTTGGTACCAGAAAAAGGTTGGTTTTGCACATCAAGCACTTATGCTTCCAGGTGCACAGCTAGTGATTCCCCCCCCCCCCCCCCCCCAACCCTGTTCCATGCTTTGACTTCCTTTAATCTTTCAGTAGGAGCAAACTATTATGTATATCTTATTTTAAATTATTTTAATTATTGTAAGTTTAGGCTTTGGTGTATATTGCCATAACTTCAGTTTTGATTTTGAATATTACTTTTTAGAAATGCTTTTAATAAAAAAAAAAAAAGCTGATGTGGAGGTAGATTAAAAAAAACTTTAGTGATCTTGTAGTACCATAATAAGCACCACAGAAGAACTCGGGGATAAATTTATCATTACATTTTCAAAGCCACATTTGAATTGTGTGTAATAAATAAGGCATGCAACAATGAGGAAAATACAAGCTATTGAATTGCTTGTCTGTGTATGCTGTCTGTTCTACACACTGAAGGAGGCAGCAGTCTTGCTGGGGAAAACTAGGATGCAGTGCTAGATTTAAACTGTCACGATGCTTGTGAACAAGGGGGCAAATCAAAATAGTCAGGAAACCTTAATTCTGGCATTTCTTGAGTATAAAGATAAAAATCAAACAATCTTTTAGTGTAGTTTTGTGTGTGAATTGAAAATTAAGCCTAAACAGTAATGGATGTTAATCACATTGCTGAAAAAGTTATGAAGTTATGTTGCTTAGCATTCAGACTGCTTTAGTATATATACACACGTTGCATATTTTGTCTTTGTCGAGACTGTTTCCACAGGAGAAGTGTTCACCTCTGGTATACCCCTAATTTCCTAATGCATCAGAAGAACAAAAGAGTTCTTTGCAACACATCTACCTGTTTAGCAACTCTTACTAATCAGGTTCTCTTATACCTTGTACATAATGTATATTTCAGTAAACACAATGGCACCCTCTACTGATCTTTGGAAAACATTGCTTGCTTTATTTTATGTTGTATTATACATTCAGTTTTTTGTTTCTTCAGTGGCTTGGTCTGTTGCTATTTATCTGCTTATCTAAATACAGTTTTAAGGTGTTTTGGCTTAGGAGCCAAATGTAAATTTGGGGAATTAGTTTGTGGTTCTTGTCAAACAGAGGGGGGTGGCACTGCACTCTGCCTGAGAAATGGCTGCCTGGGTCTGTATTATGCCCCTGAAATCAGGGGGTAGCCCCCGTGAATTAGGTAGATCCCTACAAATATGTCTGGGGTGCCTATTTAGATAGATAGGTTTGATTCTAAGCCTTTACCATTAATTATTCTAAAAGCCATGTTCAAAGGATTTCAATGGACTGACCCTGATTATGGTCCAAATATGGACCTAATGAAGCAAGTGTCTTCCATTTCCGTGCGGAACAAACTTGCTTTATGCTGGATCCATGTGGATTATAAACACAGGAGTCAAAGCCCACCTGAAACTCCCTTGAACATAACCTTTAAACACCTTATGGTAAATTGGAATCAGATTATTGGAAAAAAAAAAACTTCTTTCTTACTCTTCCCTCTGTAATTGATATCTGTGTCTAGAGAGTTGCTGCATTCTATTTTCTCTTTTTGTCTCTGCCAAGAGAACACTGGAAAATAATGCATGGAAATTGACTTTCCTCTTTCATGGTTGACCTTTTGTGTGCTGTTTTTATGACATTGTCTTGCATTTATTTGCTGTGAAGCAGCACATACAAAACGGTTGATGGAGGATCATCTCATTCATTTTTGAACAACAGTGGGTATAGCTGTTTAACTTCTTGGTGTTTGTCCAGCATGTTCTGAACATACCTGGATTGTGCTTTTTGGGGGCTTTAGAAGTAGCTTAATCTAGTCCTTCAGGCCCAAGTGGAAGCTAGGAACCTCATTGCTCAACCATGCAGATCTAGGTATGTGCAGAGGGAAGAGCTGTTGGTGCTAAAGAACTCTCAAGTCAGGTCCTTGGTTTTTGTAGGTTGTAAGCACCTCCCTGGTCAGTTGGCAGCCAAATTTTGAGGTCTTTGCATTTTGATTTTGGGCCTTTAGAATCTGGCCTCAGCTGCACCCAATACTTCATCTATTCTACCCAAAATAAATCCCGCACAAAACAAAATCTCGGATCTTGCTTGCTGAGTCAGAAAGTGAAGTCAGGTGAAGGGAAAAATGTTTCTGAACATAAAAATTGCCAAGGTTCTGATAGGACAAAGATGTATGTAATAACCACATAGAGATTGTACTTTATGTAGTGTCGAAAGAAAAGATAAGTTCTATGCTATGTCAGCCTGGGAAAAAAAAGCAGGGTTTCTGTAAAAGTTCATAGAGCAGTAAGGCTAGAGTCTTCACATCTTATGGATCAACATACATGTTCAGTAGTTAGTTCATAATGTTTTAATAGTGATGTTTTAAAATGCCTTAAACTCTTCCCACCCTCAGCAGTTTTAGGGGCTGCTCTTGCAACATCAACTATATTCACACTTTATAAAATTTGCATGGTGCTTGGCAGTACCATTAAATTGACAAATGTATTCGTTTCTCCTCTTCTCTCTCCCTTCCCCCCAACTTGTCTCTTTCCAGGAATGAGAATCTTTTATATTAAGTTAAAAGATTTGTTTAACTTGTTCCAGAGAGCCGACAGTTGCCTATATACATGGTGTACATGTAAGCACTAGGGACAGAAGTTGCACATAAACCGGTATAAGTAATTGGAAACTGGTTCAAATCTGTAACACAACAGAAGTTCAGTGCACCTGAACTGCTTTCAAAATGTCCAAAACTGGTTAAAGATGAACCTGGATGGATGTAGTATCAGATTGAACTGATTTAGTTTAAATTGGTTTATTGAACTGTTGTCCCAGAACCCTTCCAGATTCCAGTTAACTCTGTCCCCCAGCATCCCAGGGTGCCTTGCACCTCCTCCACAATCCCCCTTTCCCCCCATAGGGTTGGTGAGCTAGCCTTGGCCCAGGCTGTCTGCTTCCTGCCAAGCAGGGAGATGTGCTCTAGCACCCCCCCAGGCTTCTGGTCTGGGCCACTGCAGGTATGTGGCTGCATTTCTGGAATCAAAAGAGAATATCTGTTTACTTGCTTATTGATTCAATCTACGCAGTTTAGACTAACCTGTGAAGATTAAATTGATTCAGCCTCAGGATTTTTGACTGTCTGTACTTAGCCTACAGGTCTAGTCAGATGCCTGATGAACCTATTTGTGGCTGACAAGCCCAATTCAAGAGCAACACAGCTTGTTACAAGTTTCACAGTTCCATATGTTGTCTGAGTTGGAGTCCAAGTTTACAGCATGTTGCTTTCTTCTTTTCTTCTTCTCTTCTATTCTCTGCTTCATATTGAGCAGCACCCAGTACCAGATATTCCCTCTAGACTGGATGGGATTCCATGCACTCCTTCCAGCTGTCTATGTTGATGCTGAATGACTTCATATCATTTTTGCACACATTGTGCTTCTGCCATAGAGAGCGACTCTGCCTTCTAGAGCTGTCTTGAATCTTGCTATGCATAATGTTCTTGGGGATAGTCTCCTACCATTCTCCTGACGTGGCCTATCCATCGCAATCTCCTCTTCTTCATAGTGGTTTCTAAGAGTGTCAGTCCTGCATGCTTTTAGTACCTCTGTGTTTAGTATTCTGTTTTCCCACTTTATTTTCAGGATCTTACACAGGCATTGTATGTGGAAGCTGTTCAGTCTCTTAATGTGCCTAGCATATGTAGTCCACATTTCTGAGTCATAAAGCAGGGATGACAGCACACAAGTCTTGTAGATTTGCATCTTCATCTTAGGTAATAGTTTGCTGTTATTCTATGCACGTTTCTGTAATAGCCCAAAATTCTTAGCTGCTTTTCTATTTCTGATGGTTCAGTCTGAAGGTCAAGATTCCTGCT